ACAGACAGATAGACAGATAGACAGATAGATAGATAGATAGATAGATAGATAGATAGATAGATAGATAGATAGATAGACAGACAGACAGACAGACAGACAGAATGATAGATAGATAGATAGATAGATAGATAGATAGATAGATAGATAGATAGATAGATAGATAGATAGATAGATAGATAGATAGATAGATAGATAGATAGATAGATAGATAGATAGACAGACAGATAGATAGACAGACAGACAGGCAGATATTCCTATTCAAACTGTGTGTGCTGTGCATAGTACAATTTATTGAAAATAATACAAAAAACAAACTTTTCTCTGACTGAAACAGCGCTGTGCAAAGAGCAACTGATTACTTTTCTCTAAACTGGTAAAAGAAGCGCCTCCACATTTCCTGAACCTCCCAGTCGCGTCACTGCCTAGGGTGACATTTACACAAATAATTCATTATTGCAGTAATAATGAATACCAGATTGTATCATTTCTTCCTTCATCAAATGTCTCAGAAAATAAAATTAAACTCATTTAATGAAGGAAAGCAGGTATGTAAATGCAGATAATAGTTGTTAATATGCGCAGTGACCTCCGGCTGTCAGAGCTGCACAGAACATTCAATTGAGTTTCATTCAGATCAGAGTAAAGCTGTGGGTGGTAATCAAACTCTCTCTGAGAACAACCTCCACCAACACTCAAGATGATCTCCTCATAGCCGTGTACAGTAGTGAACGATCAGCTTTCTGATCCCTTATTAAAAACACACACTGATTTATTCCATCCTTATACTGAGTGTCAGAAGTTAAACGCTCAGTTGCATTATGATAAATAGCCCTTCAAACGATCAGATCTCTGCATACTCTGACATTCAGGCTTCACTTTCCGCAGGTGGAACCGCGGCTGAGATAACAGAGGTCGCGTGTGTATGAATAGAAATGCCAAAACATTTCAATTTGAGAGTTTTGCATCTTCTGGCTCAGAGCCCGAGCTAAATGGCATTATTATGCATAAGAACTATGATTGACTATGGCCAACAACTTGACGCAATGTATGAGTTTCTGACAAGACCTAATGCTCTCTCGCTTGTGAGACAAAACTGGGACGAAAATAAGTACCCGATAATTTAGCAATCAACATGTCAAAGTAATAATATGTCTGCTTTGATAATTATCTACCGAGAAGTAACAGCTGCGCAAATTGAGCTGATTAACCACGTCTACATCATTTTGAATTATTTCAACAAATTACTGTTTGTCTTGGCAGCCGCTTCTCTGCTCCCTACAGTGGCTGTGAGCGGTGTCGCCAAAAAACATCAGACTTAATGTACACTTTCAAAACTTTGGGGTCAGTCATTTGTTTTTGAAAGAAATTCATACTTTTATTCAGCCCGTTCTCATCCCAAGGCGTCATCTAACTGACGCTTTTGACCATGCGTCAACATGCCGACGCACATAGCCTACGCGCCTCCTAGTGGTCTAACACTAACCCTACCCCAAACCTAAACCTACCCATAACGGAAGCGTCATCTAACTGACGCTAAAGGGTACCATGTGCGTCGGATTTAGACGCATGGTCAAAAGCGTCAGTTAGATGACTTAAGGGGTACCATGTGCGTCGGCATGTTGACGCATGGTCAAAAGTGTCAGTTAAATGACGCCTTGGGATGAGAATGTGTTGACTTTTATTCAGCAAGGACATTTTAAAGTGATCAAAAGTGACAGTAAAGATTTATAATGTTACAAAAAAATTCGAATTTCAAATGAATGCTGTTCTTTTGAACTTTCTATTCATCAAAGAATCCTGACATAAATGTATGGTTTCTACAAAAATACAGCACAACTGAACTTTCTATTCATCAAAGAATCCTGACATAAATGTATGGTTTCTACAAAAAAACAGCACAACTGTTTTCAACATTGATAATAATAATAAATGTTTCTTGAGCAGCGAATCATCATATCAGAATGATTTCCGAAGGATCATGTGACACTGAAGACTGGAATAATGATGAAAATTCAGCTTTGCCATCACAGAAATAAATGACATTTTAAATTGTAATAATATTTCCCATTATTACTGCTTTTATGTATTTTGATCAAATAAATGCCGCCTTGGTGAACAAAAGAGACAAAAGAGAAATGAGTGTTTCTGATATAAAAAGACATTGGTCGATGCATTATACTTTTGATTTGGTGATATTTTTCCCAAAGTATTTCCCCTGGGAAAAGGAGATGTGATCTCAGGAAAGGTCAGTTCCTCGGTGAGAGTCAGACTAGATGAGTGATGACAGCAGTCAGGACTGGAGATAATACCAAATAATAGGACAACTTTAGGGTCATGACTAGGTCGAAAGGACATTCGCTCACAGTCCAGTCTCTCTCTCTTTTATCCCCTTGCTCTTGTTCTCTGTTTTTCATAAATAAATAAAAATCCTCTATATGGGAAGCATTCCCACTGGACAAATTCTGTCATCTCAGATTTGAGACTGTCCAACTTTATAACTTATTCCATAATATTTGCAACTTTTCTCAACTTAGAAATGTTTCAAAATGGGACAGTAAAGATGTGTATAATGTCAAAGAAACTCTATTTCCATTACAGTTTTTCTGAATTGAACCAAATTCTCAATAGCCTAAACCAATTTGTTGAATAAATCACTCTTTCTGTAAAACATTAAACAATTTCAGGTTGTTAAAACACTGTTTGCAAATCTCATGCACTCTTTCTGCAAAACTCGAAACACATTCTCACTCGCTAAAACACATTTCGCACTGTGATGCACTTATGTTTCTAAACACGAAACACAAAAGTTAAACACAACTACAACACAGTTGTCATCGTTTACACACAACGGCTCAAAATTGTTCACACTTATTTCTAATGATGTGAGCAAACTGTACATAATACAAGTCAGTTCAGAGCCAAAATTGACTCAAAATGTTGCACTGAATGTTGGTACCAACAATGGATGGAAACAATATAAGAGGGAGAGGAGGAAGAAAGAGGTGATAAACAAGGAGGAAGAGGACGAGAAAGAGCAGGAGTGGAGAATGCTGTCAAGGCTGGATCTGGCTTCAGGGTTTTTCCCTTTGCCTGAGCTGACAGTGTCTGTGATGTGGACAAAGTCCTCAGGCCAGATCAACATGAAGACATGATCCTGAAGCACAACTCTTCTGAGTGTACTGTAACATGCTTTTCATTTAGAGTTTTTTACTGTAACCTTTTTTGCTTATGCCATTGGGTCTCTGTATTTTCACAGTATGCAAGTGTTGAATATACAGACATTTGATAGGCCTACTATACAATATTCAGTACAATACTATACTTGCAGTGCATACAATTTATTGTATATTGTACTGTAAGTTGTCATCATTACTATACTTTTTTGCATACAGTAATTGCAAAATTTGTTCACTTTGTTACAATAGACTTTTTTCATGCTTTCTGTGTTCTCCATTTTTTTGATGTACACTGTAAAAAATGATCGTGATTTTAACGGTAAAAGACTGTAAAAATGCTACAGTGCAAAACTGTTAATTGGTTAACAGAAAGTTTCCTTACTATATACGGTAAATAACTGTGATAGATCTAACGGTACATTTAATGTAATTTTACTGTAAAATACCGTTAAATTTACAGTTTTTGAAAGTGAAAAGAACAACTCATTGTATAATGTAAATTTTAAGTTAAGTCTGTAAAACCAAAAACATTGATACCGTATTTTTGACGGTAAAGTTCTGGTAACCACAGCTGCCAGTTTTTTTCCGTAAAAACAACGGGATTTTTTTTACAGTGTAGTGTCTATCGAATGATCTGTAGTGTTTATAAAATTGACTCGCTGTGTGTATGAGCTGAAAGCACTGTTTGATTTTGAGCACAGATCCAATTGTTTTGTGGATATTGTTTGATTTTGCCAGAAGAGTCAGAGGTTCTCTGAATGTGGTTTGAAAATGTGGTTTTGTGTTTAAGGTTTTGAGAAAGTGAGTGATGGTTTCAAGAAATGCGTTTTTTTGCAATTCAGAAAAAACTGTAAATGCTGTTCTTTTGAACTTTCTATTAATCAAAGAATCAACAAAAGTGTCGGTTTTTACAGAAATATTAAGCAGCACAACACTGATAATAATAAGAGATGTTTCCAATCAGCGTGAATGATTTCTGGAGTAATGATGCTGAAAATTCAGCTTTGATCACAGGAATAAATACATTTGAAAATATATTACAATTTTAGGTAACACTTTATTTTACAGTGTCCTTGTTACACATGTTACATCTAGTTACTGTAGTAATAATAGCTATAAATTATGCATAATAACATGCAACTAAACCAAACCCCAATTTTAATCCTAACCCTATAGTAATACATGTAGTTACTTATTATTACTCAGTATTTAAATGTATAATTACAGTGTAACACGGACACCTTAAAACAAAGGGTTACACTTTATTTTAAGGTGTCTTTGTTACACTGTAATTATACATTTAAGCACATTTAAATAAAATTAAGTACATACTTACTCTAGGATTAGGGTTTGGTTTAAGGTTAGTTGCATGTAATTATGCATAATTTATAGTTATTACTATACAGTAACTACATGTAACATGTGTAACAATGACACTGTAAAATAAAGTGTTACCAAATAAAGTGTAAACCGAATTTACTTTAAATTGTAATCAGTTTTCATAATATTACTGACATTTTATTTATTTTATTTTTTTGTCAAATAAATGCAGGCTTGGCAAACATATAAAAGACTTCTTTCAACAACATTAAAGAAACTGTACAAACCCCAAACTTTCAAACGTTATACCGTGGTTTGGTCTCAAATTCAAACTTGTCTTGTCTCAAATTCATAACAATATGCAAAAATGATTAACATGACAGAGCCTAAAAAAGGAAATATATTGCTGTGTAGAAATAATAAATACAAAAATGTCTTTTACCAGCCAAACACATGGAACAAACACCCAGTATTGCAATAGTATTATCACCAAACGCCAGGTGGATTTGCACACAAATACTGCACAGTTAGACACCAACAACAAAAGATATACGATTATTTATTTACCTATCCTAACTACGCTCCATTAAACAGTCAGTTGCATAGTATTATTAGCATTACGCATTGCAACCCAGCGGTTGAGAGCCTCTATGATTGTGGAGAAGCGTGAGGCTTACCTGGAGGCCCCATGTTGGCGGGCAGACAGTCTGCGGCTCCGCTGTGGTGCATGAGCAGCGAGTCTCCGCTCAGAGTCGTGAAGGAATCGCTGGTGCTGAAGGCCTGGCAGGTCATGACTCACCTGTGTGACACGAGCGGGGCGTGTGCAGGTATTTATGCTGAGCCCCCTCAGACCCCCTCATCCATGTTAATGAGCTCTCGCTGTCGGCACGGCTCTGGCAATCAGGGCAAAGAGGTGCAATCTGATACTGTCCATTTCCACTGTGTGTGGCTTCCGACAAACACCAGTGACTGCTTTGACAAACCACGGCTTATGAGACTTAAGGGTAATTAGCCATTCCAGAATGTGTTTACATTTACATTTCAGATGCAACGAGGTCTGATTGCATAAATATGGAGTTATCATCGAATATATTTAAGACATTTTTAGGATTCTTTATTAAAAATCCATGCTTTATAGAATTAAGTTTTTTTAAGGAGCACATCAATATTTATAAATCATTTTATATTTATATACAGTGTTGGGAAAGTTACTTTTACAAAGTAATGCATTGCAATATTGTGTTAAGTTTTATGGAAAGTAATGTGTTACAGTACTTTTGTGTTACTTTTTCGCATCTGGGCTGGGCTGTTTTTTTGTTCTATTTATATTTTGGGCAAAAGTTAAGGCCCTTTCACACCAAAAGTAAAATTAATAAGCCTCAGGATGAAGGAAATGCAAATTCACGTCTGTACAGTGTGATTTCTCTTAACATGGGGACAGGAGAGGTGTCGTTCAATAGATGGGAGAGCAAAGTAACTTGCATTACTTATTTGAAAAAGTAACTGAAAAAGTAATCTGATTATGTAACTCGCATTAACACTGGTTATATAAACATGTAACATATAATCACGTTTTTTAATTCAAAATTAAGATTTTACATGAATAGTATATGCATACTCTATGTTAGCCAAAACACTGATTTTATATTTATTTTCTTTATTATTATAAATGATTGAATTTAATTGTTTTGTGTTTCATTATTGTTGTACAGAGCCATTGGTGGAATTATAATTATAATTATTTATTTTTTAAAGACACATACAACATTTTTAATGACCAAAAAGCTTTGACTGTTTTTTTTTTTTTAAGAAACTGTGCTTTGAAGGTTGTTTTTGAGCACAAATATTTCATGTAGTTTCTCAATTAATGTGAGGTCATAAAAAATGTATGTGGAATAATTATAGCTAAAACATTTTCAAAGTCATTTAAGATGAATTAAAGCGTGTCAAAATGCCGACGAATCACAACTGCTCATGTCAACATTCAAACACAAATTCTTTTATTTCTTATTTAAAAAAAAAGATGTTTATCTTAAGCTTATCAACTGTCAGTGTGATATATTCATTCTAATGACTGATATCTGCAGGAGAAGTTCTCATTTTACTTTAGTGAAACTTGCTTTGGCTTGATTCCACATGATGGATGTTTACTTGACCGGTGTGGAGCCCGGCCATCTGGTCACTGGTCAATTAGTTTTTGTTGCATTTGTGCTGGCACGTTCATGTGTTTGTTAACATAAGCCTGAAAAGCCCCAGTCTTGAGACGGAGATGTTAGAACTTGCTTTATTTGTGATCATCTAAATCACTGTGAGCAGGTGCCGGCCTGAAGGGTCTCTGAGGCTCAGGTACAGCACAATACTTCAGATCAACACAACATGGCGAGCCTTCGTGGTTTATGTCTGAATGACAAAGTAATCGCCTGAAGACTTCTCCCTTTGCATACTGAGGAAGACGCAGTGAATATTTCTAATAGAGTTGTAAATTGTATGGCAGTCTGTGATACTGCAGAAATGCTAATAATTTGGGTCTCAGTCACGGATTTACAATTTTTCGCCGCACTATTCCCTCACGCAAAACCCCTGATAATGAGGATTCTTATTAAGATTTCTGCATTTATCCCACAGTATTTCACTATACAAAGGTAAATCTGCACCATTAGCCATGAGACGCCATGTGTTAGTGGTTTTATCATTGGAGATGTATGTTCTAATCACTGTAATTTTATAACATGGCATCAATACAAAACAAACTAAACAAATGTACAAAAAATAAGGACATTAATAACCAAAATTAACAGTTATAAACACCAAGAAATATAGTTTGTTATAAGGAGTGAGCACAAACAGCTCATCCAATCAGAATATAGAGTCTGTACTATAAAGACTTTTTTGATGCAAGAAATAAAATAAACGTTGAAAACTGTGTCATGACAGCTCTCTGAGAGTCTGAGTGTTTGGCATGGTAATGGATAGTATGTTTGGTCTGGTGGAATAGATCTGCTGCACTGTTGCTGCTGCATCTACAGAGCAAGTTCAAGACTTGCTACTGCCAAAATAAACACGACACATCTATCTTTTGCTGTGAGGAAGTAAGACATGCTGCAGCTGTACAATATAACAATATAGTGTACATGAATTACCAGGAGCAGATCTATACAGGTGGAGCTGGGGAAGGGGGAGGGTTTCACCTTCATCAGCTGCGCCCTATAGATAATGATGATGATTACAAGCAGGTTGAGTTAAAGGTTCTCTAAGCGATCCTGGGTGACTTCACTTCTTGTTGACGTTCGAACTATTGTCAAACAAAACGGAGGCTAGCTAGACCCTCCCTCCTCCTCATCCGCACACTAACCCCCCAAACCACACCCCCATACCATTCTTGTCGGTCATTGGCTGGAAGTGTTTGTCATGTTTCGTGGAGCGGGTCGCCGCAGTTTGTTTTTGTTGCTGTTTGTGGAGCCTGGGCTGTCTACAGAGATCACGTTTCTTTACAGTGTGTTCAGGGGACAGGCAGCCAGCGGACAGTGAGGAGATGTTTGCTGTGTGTGACAAAAGATGTTTTGGCCTAAAAAACGCGTGACATCGCTTAGAGTACCTTTAAGGACCATCAACCTGCGCCATCTAGAGTTTCATGACATAACTTTGTATAATTATTTTTTTTAGTAATTTTGTCAATTTTATTAATGTCTTGTTTTTAGGGGCCAAGCCCCTATTGTAATTGTTATTTTTCTTCATTTTTTACATTTATGCATTTGGCAGATGCTTTTATCCAAAGCAACTTACATTGCATTTCAAGGTATACGCATTTACATTCTTATCAGTTCTTGCTTTCCTTGGGATTTGAACCCGTTGCAAGCGCCAACACTCAACTGTTTGAAAACGTCTGTTGTCCCATGAGTAAAGATGACAAATTAATCACACTTTCTGGGGAATTACCAGAATTACTTACATTTTGCACATTATGCATATAGATTTTAACAACAAAATAATCTCACATTAACAATTTTATTAAAGAATTAATGGCAAGAATTTTACATGAATGCAGATTACATATTATTATTAAAAATGAATGAAGTATTTATAACAATAAAACAGTCTGAATTTTAATTGCCGTTAAGTCCTATAATATGTAATGTGACGGGACCTTCCAATCCTCCAGGCGGTCAAAGGAAGAGGCCGATGGAGCTGTGCAATACATGTCCCAAGTGAGTTAGTGTCTGCTCTTAAAATAACCCCTATTGTAGCAACAAGCTTCTGTGATGGAGGGTATATAAGACAGAGAGATGGAGAGAGAGAGAGAGAGAGAGAGAGAGAGAGGAAAGGGAAGAGTGATAAAAACAGGCTTCAAGCACAGGATTAAGGGGACCATGAAGAAAACCCTTTCCCATGAGAATGAACAAAGGACATGTGATTTGAAGAAGTAAGAGCGTGTTTATTACGTCTCTCGGGTAAATCCCTGCACGTTGAGTCCTCGTAGGCTGCCAGAGTAACCAAGCACGGACACACAAAGCCCCTAAACTTGATTAGTGCAGGGAGCATGAGCTGAGGACCTGCACCTGTCCTGACCGGGTCCTCGCCCCAGCCTGACATACATACACCTCACGCATTGATCCAGCACTGCAGTGGGAACACCACCATCACACACCTTCTCACAGGTATCACATCCTTCTAACACAAGGCACACATGGACTGTACACCTTCCTAATTCTGGAAATGTGTGTGTGTGTGTATGTGTGTGTGTGTGTGTGTGTGTGTGTGTGTGTGTGTGTGTGTGTGTGTGTGTGTGTGTGTGTGTGTGTGTGTGTGTGTGTGTGTGTGTGTGTGTGTGTGTGTGTGTGTGTGTGTGTGTGTGTGTGTGTGTGTGTGTGTGTGTGTGTGTGTGTGTGTGTGTGTGTGTGTGTGTGTGTGTATGGAACACCTTATTGATTAGACTGGCTGTTGGGTCACGACCCCAAAATGGGTCACAGGTCTGTTCTGATAAGGTCGCGGACAGCAAGAAAAACAATGGTAAATGCTTTAACTATAACAGTATAGGATAGCAAAAATAGGAACATAAACTTTAAAAAGGGATACAAACAATTTGCATTTCAAACTATTATATGATATTATATTATATTATTATCAGTCAGTAAGATTTTTAAGTGTTTTTTTGCAAACAGCCTTTTCTAACCCACACTGATTAGACTAAACACAGTAAAAACAGTAATATTGTGAAATATTATTACAAATTAAAATAGCTGTTTTCTATTTGATTTTAAAATATAATTCATTCCTGTGATCAAACCTGAATTTTCAGCATCATTACTCCAGTCTTCAGTGTCATATGATCCTTCAGAAATCATTCTAATATGATGATTTGATGCTCAAGAAACATTTATTATTATTATCAATATTGAAAACAGTTGTGCTGCCTAATATTTTTGTGGAAACCGTGATAGATTTTTTTCAGGATTCTTTGATGAATAAAAAGTTCAAAAGCACAGTATTTATTTATTTATTTATTTATTTGTTTATTTATTTATTTGTGTTTGATTGTTTGTTATTCATTTATTTTGCATTTATAATGCATCATTGCTGAATAAAATAATTAATTTATGTGTTTGATTTTATACACACACACATAAAATCAAACACACAAATGAATTATGTTATTCAGCAATGATGCATTATAAATGCATATATATATATATATATATATATATATATAAATCAATGGTTCTAGCTGTGAATAGTTTGCATTTGAACATTTTAAACTTGCTTACTATAGGCTACATTTTAAATGGAAAATGCTA